TTTTTTTTTTTTTTTTTAGTCATAATTAAAATACATATAATAATAAATGAACATCACGTAGTACAGAGAAGAAAAGTTTCTACGCGAAGACGACAATGACTACGTTTGTACGAATTTATCATACGTCTTTTTTTTTTTTTAATGAATAATCTAATTTTGCAGTGTACATTAATAATAAATGTAAAGCTTAGATTATTATTTCGTCTTTTAAATAAATAATTTCTTACTTGAAGGATATTCGTCCCATAATACACCACAAACGTTTTGGAATTCACATTTTTTTCAATGCTACAATTTTTTTCATGAGAGGTGGGGATAGATCATTTGCAAGCTAACTAAAATAGCTTTTTCTTTCTACCCACGATATAGAAATAACTAATGTATAATAATTTTTACAGGATTTTGTCAAAAAAAAAAAAAAAAAAAAAAAAAAAAAATAGAAGAAAAAGACGCGTACCTAAAATATAATGAAAAACTTAAGCGTCCTTAATTATCTCGATGCGTCAGCATTATAAAAGTATATATATTTTTGCACTGTAGGATCCTGTAATGACAGGAAATAGTAACTCCGATTATTGTAGAAAAAGCGGAACTACCGCAACATGATTTTTTTTTGTTCGAGCCTTTTTTTTTTTTTTTATCTTTCATTCGCACAATTGACTTTGACAGCAGATATACATATATAAACTATACCGTCGAAAGAAGATCAATTCTAGACTAGGTACGACATATTAAATACATGAGTTTACATTGAAGAATGGAAAACGTTACTTCGAATGTATGTACGAGAAAATATTGATGGAAGGATCAGACCAAAAGCATAAGTTTTGCACGAAGATTTATACGTTCTTGTAGAGCGCTGGCTAATTCACGTGTCAATTCTTCACAGACTAGTCGAAGTTCTGCATTCTTCTCTCGCAATTCTTGCAAAGTTAATTTCTTACCATCTTCTGGATCATCTTTCGACGAATCTTCTTCCTCGAGCTCTCGTTCTAATGTCATTCATAATAATATCATTTAATATGTTTTTTTAATTGTAATACAAATATTATTCAATTATTGATTTATTTTGACTTACTAGGACTGGGTTTCCTATAAATTTGAAATGCACCACAAACTCCTGTAAATTGTTGAGATTGCGGAATACTGTTCTCCATGGTAGGATTTTCAGGTAATTCATTCTTTGGAGAAAAATGAGAAAAATCAGCAACAAAACCTTGACTTTCGCTGAGAGTCCTCTGTGCCTCTCCTTCGCTTTTTTGCCCAACCAATTTTCGAGGTGAAGTCTGTAGCAGATATGAACGATAAATTTTCTCAAACGATTACCATCCTTAATTGCTTACCAGGTCATCCGCATTAAAGTAATGGTGATAAGTGTACAAAAAAAAAAAAAATGGCACAACTTAAAGATGTTTATATATAGAAAAGAACAAAAAAAAAGATAGATTAACTTATATCAAAATAATCAAAATAAAAGTAATGAAATAAAGATATATATATATATATAAGTTAATAGATAGAGTAACTTACGATTCCCGGTGAAATTCTTGGCGGTACGAGCGGAGGTGCTCCGAGGAAACTTTGACCATTTTTCCCTACAAGAACGTGCACACATTTTGAGCAGTGATAGATTTGCTTTCTCAGCTGCGAATGAAAAGTATCGCAGTATACCGGTAGCAACATGTACCTAGTTTGTTAAGATCAAGACTAGAACTTCGTGCGTGTGTTCTATAAGGCCTAGGAGGTGGTGGCGGTGGTGGTTCCTTCTTTGGAGTTACTATAACGGCATCTTCGGCAGATTGTGGTGGTTTTTTAACAAGCGGTCGCTGTACCAAAGATACGGAAGAATGTTGCAAATCGTCTTCACCTAATGTGGTACAACTGCTATTGCTACCATTGGCCCCAGATGCCAGAATAGCTGCTTCGGGTGTTAAACGAAGAGCTACTGGATGTAAAATTTTAGGATCTCGTTCGACGGCAGATTTTTGAAAATCAAAATTAACCAATTGTAATCCAGGACTCGTGAGAGAGGTAGTTGTACCAGTCGGCGAATCTACAAACTTGGTCCATTCCTTACTCTTGTCTCTCATATTTACTGAATTAGGTGGACTGCTTTGGCACTTGGTCGTCGATGAAACTGCTGGTGGGGCGTTTGTAGTTTGCATTACTAATGGTATGGACAAGGACGGAGGTAAAACATCGGGAAGAGGTACATGATTTCTTCTGAGGACTACCAAATGCATAGCTACGTAAAATTCTTGCAAACTTAGCGCCCCATCTCTGGTTACATCCGCTAACTGCCAAATACGTCTTAATTCAGCTACAGGAAGTCTAGATTTCTCAAAGAATGTTCGAGCTACTGGCCCAGCCAGAAGACCTTCAGGATCAGGCTGCAATTGGGCAAATTGAGCAGCATAATAATCACGTTGCTCGTCGCTAATAATCCAAACCTCTTCCGGAGGAAAACCAGAACAATCTCCTTCCCCTTCGCCTTCGTCGCTGCTGTGACGTTCAGAACTTTCCTCTTCCGTACCTAACAATTGTCTCTGCTCTTCGGACATAAGAAGACCCTCCCACCCTCCGGAAACAGTATCCAATATTGTATCTCCTCCCAACATTCCATCATTTCTTTCTTGAGTTACACTATTGGTTGGCGTTGGAGAATCCGTGCTACCACCGGTTTCTCTTGGAGATTCTGCCTCGCTCTCACTTTCTGTCGTGCTTTCAGGTACATGACATCTACTTTTAATACCTCTAGTCGAATCCGTACTCCTTCTGCCCTCCTCGTCTCCAGAAGTTGGCCATGTAAATCTTGGCAGAGATATAATATCTAAAGCAGCCGTTACCATATCTCTACAAACATCCAACCCGGCTTGATGAGCTGCTACCAGTTTAAGGACTGCGTAGAATTGTTTTTTACCTATATGAGTTGTACCTTTGATTCCAATGCAGATGTCTAGTATCTGAATAGAACGAAGAACAAATACAGATATACATTAAATTAAAGTTCAATATTTATTAATCATTAATATATAATTATACAGTATCAAGTAGAGATAAACCTAACCTTCTATACTTATAATACCAAATATGAAAATATTATAAAAATGTAAGAATTATTGCAAAAAAATTGTCGCGTGATAAGGAAATATAACATTTGCAAACGTAAATAGAATAAAAGGCTTACCTTCATCGTGACGTCTCGCGGCAAATTTGCAGAGCGTAAAAGTTCGGCTACTTTAACAACCGATACGCTGTCACTGTCAGCGTTTTCGCAGCAATATATAAAAATATCGCCGTAATAGCGATGTTCGGTAGCTGTCAGATGAAGGTTCGCCATCGTTATCGCATCCCAATCCATCTTAGTAGCGTAACACAAAACTCCTTCCTTGTTTCTCACCAGGGGCTGGAAACTCCTCCTGTTTTTTGAAGCCATTCAGTTAGTTCCACGGAAATAAACTTGCCTAGATGGTACTAGTGTCAATAGTAGTGACAAGATGGCTCTGAATAACGACAAGAAAAACCCTACCCCTCTGTGTACTTTGCTTTTTCCAATAACAACGAACAATCTATTTTGATATTTATTTTATTACGAAATAATAATCATGATAAGTTATTTTTTTTGTTTAACAAATTTTACTACTCATAGCAGAAGTTTTTTTTATTTGTTCAAAAATAGCATTTAAATCTATCGGTGTACTTTTCATAGGGAATTTTAGGACTCGACAAGTGGATACACTTTTAAAAGTTATTCTTTTCGGAATAAGTTATTCGAATATACTTGTTATTTTTGTATTTATCAAGAGAAGATAATTTGTGTGTTGTTATGTAAATAAAATAAAAGATCAATAATTCAACAGTTAAGTTAATAAGGTACGTTTATTCGATATTAACTTTATTTACAAGTAAAAAGATTATGAAAAAATGTAATATATATAATATTGAAAGTAACGATTAATGAAAAACGACATATTCTGATTGTTAATAAAAAAAAACAAAAACATGTAAATTCTCATTTCTTTTCTTTCTTAGATTCTTCTTTTTTACATTCGTCTCTTTTGCATTCTTCTTTCTTACATTCTTCCTTTTTACATTCCTCTTTCTTAGGTTCCATTTTTTTTGATTCCACTTTCTTAGGCTCTTCCTTCTTGGATTCTTCCTTCTTCGGTTCTTCCTTCTTCGGTTCTTCCTTCTCTTCTTTCTTTTCTGCTTGTTTTTCTAGAATAGCCGGCTTACCAGTTTGTTCAATCTTTATTTTACGTTCATTCTTTTCCTTAATCATTTTTTCCTTCCTCGGTGCAGTAATACTGAGAACACCATCAGAAGATAAACTGGATGATACCTGATCAATGTCACATTGTTCAGGAATCATATATTTTCTAGTAAACTGTCTCGATATCCAACCATGTTCATCCTTCTGTTCTTCGTGTTTGGCTTCAACGACGACATATTTGTCAGTAACCTTGACGTTTATTTCATCAGGTTTGAACTGTTTTACATCCAAAACCACTTGAAATTTATCTTTATCAGCTTTAACCGTTGACGTACCCTCGTTGACGTTGCTACCTCTACGCAATAATTCGGCCCATGGTCTATAATAGAATAATGGTTTCATCCTTCTTTCTAAGGTTGGCATTCGCAAAAATTCTTCTTGAACCGTTGGATCTAATAATTGATCGGGATAAAGTCCAACTCCAAAATTTTGATCGAACAGACGATGAGGACGTTCCAAATCCTCCCACCAATTGGAAAAAATTAATGGTATCAGAGACATTATTTTGTCTTCTTTCAATATATTTAACAAATTTCAAATGGATCACACTTTCTTGATTACTTTTGAACGACTGCTAAATAGTAACTGCCTGCTGCGCTGTTATTTCCACTTCATTTATACGATGAGCCCAACCGACCGACCAACCAACCAACCAACCAACCGGCAACGTATTCTATCTATTTAACACGACGAATTTCTTCTCTCGAGGGGTGAAGGGAATCACCTGGCGAGAATCTGCCAATCGAATATTCTTCAAAGAAGAGTAACATCTTTTTCTTCTTTTATTTTCATCTTTCATCTTTTTTATTTTCTTCAACATTGCAACGGCAATTCAAAAAAAAAAAAAAAATGTTGCTCGTCGATAAGTTACAACATTTCAAATTGAAAATTAACATAAATAAATAGGAATTTAAATTGAAACAGTATCATGTTTCTTATCTTGTTTATGTATATATATATATATATATATATATGTTATTATAATTTGAAATCTTAATAATATCGTTATTTGTTTGAAAAGCTACATTGTTTTCTCAGTATTAAATATCTCTTACTATATGAGATAATTAAAGAATAAAAATGTAATTGATAGTAGATAAATAGATAATACCAAATGTGGATAAGTTTAGCATCAGAGTAAGAAAATGGTAAAGGATTCGTATGTTCTTTTGGTACGGTATGCGTCGCTATCAATTGCGACCGTTCTATTTTGGTCGTACTCTCGACAAAATCGATCTTTCTCGACGCTTCTAAGCGTCTATGTGACATGTGCACTTTAAATTGTGTCTTCGTGTGTTGGGTCGCTAACTAACCGTAAGCGCATTTAGCGTTGCAAGTAGTCGAGAACTTTCTATTTTGCGAACTATTCGAACTCTCTTATTTTGTAATTAAAATCAATGAAGACAATTTAGTAGACAATATTTTAAATTAAATGTTTTTTATATTTTTGTACAAAGATGAAGGACTTTAAGAAGATAAACAGTAGCATTAGATTATAAATATATGTTTATATTATATCGTGCAAGAGCTGTAAGTAAATAGATGGGATTTTAATTACATAGCAAAGTGAGAAGATGTTATTTCAATCGTTATAGATACATTTGTTTACGTAAATATACATCGATATACTGGGTGAGATAAAAGTTACTTTTTCAAGTTGATTAATTAATCCTCAATTCAACAGATCTTTTTCAAATTTCGAATAGCTCGTCTTGTTGATGTTTGAACTCTTGAAATGTCTAATAAAAATATGATATTCGATGTTTCCTTAATTTTTGTCATTAGAATCTTTGATAGGAGGATCATCGTAGAAACATTTGCCAGTATGCTCGATATTAATGAATTTTTCAGCCTCGTTTAGTTTTCTAGGAGCTCAAATGGTGAGAACTCCGTCAGAAGATAAGGTAGACGTAATTTGATCTATGTTACATTATTCTGGTATAATATATTTCCTGGTAAATTGTCGTGATATCCAACCATGCTCGTCCTTTTTCTCATCGTGCTTAGCTTTTTTCGCTTTAGGCTTTTTTCGCCAAGTTGCCAAGAATGGGTGGCGTTAGGAGATAGACTGCCAGGAAAATTCGTGATGCGCACGCTCATTCTGAATCTTAAAAATGTTAACAACATATTTAAGTATTCATTTCTATACTTGTGTCATCAATAGTTTCCATTTCATTTTTTTTTAATTGTAAAATAGATCCTTCGAATCAATACTCTACTATAGAATTTTTAAAAAGAACCGCTTCAGAATGTTACAATCGATTATCGTTTCGTCAACCAATAGCTGAAGTTTTATTGGGTATCACCTATGAGCCGTACTCGTAAGCTGTAAATAAAATCTACTTATCCCGGTTGATAAGATAATTGGTATTACCGACTGGTAATATATTTCATGGAAATGGGTAATGGACAGTAATAAACAATTTCCAAAGTAAACATCGCAGTAATGATATAAATTATATTGTAAATTATATTGGATTGTTTGAAAAATAACTTCGTTTTATTTTAATGAAAATGAAGACAATTTTTGTTTCGAGATTAAATTTAGGATTTTCGAGTGGGCTTAAATAATTTAATTTTGATAAATTTAAACTCTCAACGTCATTTCACGTGTTGTTTTATTTACCAATTTGCATTAATTAATTTGAAAATTGTGTCAAGAAAACACGTAATTAATTTCCAAACAACCTAATATATTGCACCTTCCTATGTTTATTTATTATTTTTATTAGTTTTCTATGAATCATAACTCATAGTTTTTTTAATGAACATTCGCTATAAACGTATCAATGGAACGAAGATAATTTTTTTTTATGCACGAAAAAGTAATTACAGATATAAAAGATCTATTAAAAATGATGTAACACTGATAATAATAATAATAGGATTAAAATATTAACGAAGGAGCAAGCAACGTTAAAAGACTGTTATTCATTTTCAAAAAGTCATTTATCTTTTAAGCCTAACAAAAAAAAAAAATAACAAAAAAAGGAGACATCGATTATGCGAAGCGCAAAAAAATAAGATCATCCTGCCTCGAGTCAGTGATTTATCGAGCATCGATTTAGAACTATAATAATATTCAAAACCTTGTCTCTCTCTCTCTCTCTCTCTCTTGCACATTTGCATAATGAGGTTGATGCGCTCAAAATATTAATACATATACTGAACTCTGATTCATTCTGAATGACGAAATAATCAAAATAAGTAAATCTTTGGTCGGAAGACAATGAAGCAAACCAATAGAAGAAGATCAAAACCTTCCATCCTTTGTGTATTTCGTAAGGAATTGGATGCAGATTGGTGCATAACTAATAAAAGTAATAGTAATGGAACTTTCGTAAAAGACGAGGTTCATAGACAGTTCATAGAATGAAGACGAAGAAACGCGTGTTGCTGAACGTGCGAATATACTTTAGCAAGTAATCAATGTTAGACGAAGCAGCAAAGCCAAGCCAGCAAGCAAACAGGCAAGCAGGCAAGCAGGCAAGCAGGCAAGCAGGCAAGCAGGCAAGCAAGCAGGCAGGCAGGCAGGTAGCGTGAAACGAACCGCTATAATTAATGTACGTCAATCCCGGAACGCTTTTGCAAGAGTAAATGCCACCGATATATGTATATTTAATGTGCGATACATATACATATAACGTATGTACACTCCCCCGCGTTCGAAGGCCAACCGCTATCACTTCGGTCCTAAAGTCCCGCTATTATTTTCTTTCCTTATTTCCACGACTATCTCTTTCTCCTTCTTTACAATATTTTATCTTGATTTATTATTTCACCTCCTCCTCCTCTCCTCTCTCTCTCTCTTCTTTCCCAACTTTATCAACGAGATTATTTTTTATAAATGATGACATATACATATATGTTCTCTTAGGTGTTTGGTTTTCTTTTTACGGAAATACACCTTTGCATAACTTTTGCCTATAATATTTTGTTCAACAACGAATTGTAGATATTTCATTAATATTTACCTTGTTTTTTTTAAGTAAACAAAGGATTGATAATTTCAAGGTAATTCGATAATACAGTAGGGTAACTAAAGTTAAATGCCAAGTTGTATGAAGAGAGCGCGTTTGTTCTTATCGTCATAGCAAACCTCGGTTTCTGCTACGAAATGTCACCACCTACTACCACACTCCTGCCCTTTTCTTTCTTCTCTCTTTCTTTATATATATATTTTTTTTCTTCCTATACACGCCGTCACGCACTCTAATTTACTTTCCTTTAATCAAACCAATCTTCATAATCATTTTCTTAACAGAGCTTATAAATTTGTTCGAAATTGCTAACGTTCTATACTAACGGTTTAATTAAATGTACATTTATAATTATGTACTTTTGTTAATTTCATGATCGTAATAAATAAGAAACTTTTATTGATAGAATTTTTTTTTTTTTTTTTCAATGAGATTTCATTTAGCAATATGAATATTTTAAATTATAAGTTAATTTATAAAACACGATAATAAATTTGTCTAGAATTTTTATCTGCGATAAAAGTAATGGATAATAACAAGTATATAAATTATAGAATGTTCCAGCCACGTGTTGCTATGAATATTATTATAAAATGTTAATTTAATATAATTCTAAACTATTTAATAAATAATAACAACACATAAAATAATAGTACTCGAAAAAAAACATCAATTATATCATGAAAGATCAATTAATGAAATTAATGACTCACATTGATGTGAAAGATAAGCGAATTCGCATGTATTGGTCCCACACATATATAAGTTAATGCAAAATCGTCAAAGGGTTGCACGTAATTTATTAGAAAGCGGGCGTGGTCCTTGTCTAAGCTAACGTGTCAAACGTTTGACAAAAGAATTAGAACATTATATTACTTGAAGCAAAAAGAAAGATCCACAAAAGAGAGAGAGATAAAAATAAAGAAGATAATTTTATGAGAGGGTTAGAGAAAGAAAGAAAAGAAAAAAAGTCAATGTAATAGAAGAGGAAGTGATCTCTTTAGTTTCTATTTATACTTTGGCAGGACCTTCGTACGTGTTATCGCGTAGGATCCAATTAAGAAAGCGAAGGACACCGTTCCAATCCGTAAACTTCATTTCCTAGCAAGATTGTTTTTTAGTTACGCTTGTCAAAACATAATAAATCGAGTGCAACGTTATTTTATTTAATTTCTAAATAAATAAAATGCATATTAGTCAAATTTGTTGTGGTTTCTTTTTTTTATTTTTTTTTTTATTCTGAAGTAATTCGTAGTTATTAAAAAATAAGTTCATTATTCGCACGCGAAAGATAGATCCACCGGGTGATTATTATCTTGTTCGTGGCAAAAAAAAAATTGAAACAAAAATAAAAAATAGGCGGAACTCTTGCGTCAGTGTCGTTGGTACTTTACGAGCTATGATCGATATCGGGAATGTTATTCGGAACGCGTGGGCGTTGGTCCTGTGTCTCGTCACCTTCAAATTCCATCTTACGATTTGAAAAATCAAATATGATTCCTTTTTTTTCTAATGGTATTCTTCGATGCAATTGTTTGAATTTTTCTCTTCTTTTTTTTTTGAGAGAGAAAGAGAGAAATCGATCCTTTCTTATCAGTGATATTTTTTCACTAACAATTTCATTTGAATGACTATGACAGACTAATTGTAAGACTCCGTTGGAAGATGATAATACGATAGGAGAGCACGTGTATATATAAAATACATCCAAGTGTAATAATTTATAGGTGTTGGTTGTTACGCGTGCATAAGCACGCGTGAATCAGGGAATTGTCGTGCATGTGTGCTGCAACGCCTAGGACACAGAACTTGCGCCAAAGGAATTACGAAATACGTTGTCCGATTGGTCGGCTTTGCTCTGTGTGTACCACGTGCAAGCCAATATCTTTTTTTTTTTTTTGTTCTTATTCTTCTCTCTTTCTCTCTCTCTCTCTCTTTTTCCTTTAGATTTTTTTCTTCCTCCTTTTTTAACGAGAACCCAGGTTCCGGTTGCATTTATTATTCTTTGTCGAGATATATCGTTGTTAATTGGCGCAGATAGATAGGACGAAGCTATGGAAAACAGCAGGATCTTCGATATCAATTGAATTGATCTATCGATCACGAAATATTACTTTACTTATTATACGCGTTTATACTTTTCCCATTATTCTCATCTAATATCTCAACAGTGAAATAGTTGTTACCTTTTGTCGGCTATTTAAAACGATGATCTATCGATAGATCGTTATAGATCATTCTAATACCAATATGGATTTTGTTTATCTCTAAAAGAAAATCTAAGTTATTTTCACACTTTGTTAGATTTAACGTGTTAACTGTTCTATCAATTAAGATTTATATACCATTATACGTGTTTGTTTTTTGTTGTTCAATGTTTAGAGATAACAATCGTATTTCTCGAATGTAAATCTGATTGTAAAAGCTTCAAATCAAATGTTTGTAAAGAAAAATTCGATACAATTCTAATAATTTTTCTTCAATTAACTGTTTGGGGCACGGTGTGGGATTAAAAGTGTCCCACCTTTTTGATACACCGTAATGCACGGTAGGACCCACCGTGTTTTTAGTCCCACCTCGAAATATTATTGCAATAGCTACTACACATGCTCATAAGTTTATATTTCGTCTTATTTACCCTAAGCAATTGGTTATTAATCTGGTTATTAATGTTTTTGTGCGAATAGATAAATCATTTTATTCGATGTTTATAAAATTAATCTGATAGAAACGAAGAAATCTGAAATAAAGTTATATAATAGATTTGGTTGTATAAACGTATTGAAATAGGTTTGAATAAAAAGGTTTCGAAAGGGGACCCAGATGCCTCGTGTGCACGAACCCGTGATAGTACCATACTCTGAATCGTTTCTTGTGCAACCGATCTTTTAACAATGAAGTCGGCATACTGCCTAGCAAATAGCTGATAGATCGAAGCACGCGCAAAACAACAACCCCCCCCCCCTCTCCCTTATTACTTTTCCTTACCCTTGGAAGAAGGAAGCTTCTAAACGAGATCGATCTCATTATAGGTAAGTACGCAAACGCTTTGCTATAACACGGATGTCTACATTTATTCTTTCATATTTATTGCAGTGAAAACTTCTTTAGAATCAGGGTCATTTGATAATCGTCAAACGGAAGAAACCGTGAAACAGATGAAACAAAAATAATTATTTTAATTAATCAAATTCAGTGTCACAATATGTTTGTCCATTAATAATTTTGAAACTACTCAAACTTATCTTAATGAAATTTGCTTTTATTTCACTTAGTGATTTTTTCCAACTTAGCACATAGCACAATTTTTATTTAGAGTTAGGTTATCTAGGTTCTGTAAGGTTCTTTCAATAGAAAGAAAGTTTTCTTTGAAGGTTTCACTTCTTTTCAATACATTTGAAGCAAATTTCTTCTCATGGTGAACGTATTCTGTACGTTCACGCCAATACACGAATAGAATTAGCATAATTTAAGTTAAAAAAAAATGTGTATGGAAATCGATAAATCGGTAGTCGAGATCTTTGACTCGATTCGTACGACGATCGATATTCGATAGACGCTAAACTTTCAGATCAAACTGATAAATCTTATGCCAAGTACTTTTTCTGTTTTTTTTTCTCCCTTATGGTAAACCAACGTGGATAATAATAAAAGAACGGAAAGCAAGTCACCTTGTAAACTAGTGGGTGGAGCAAAAATTTTCGATAGGAGAAGTCCTTTTCGATAGGAAAAACGTCGTTATAGTTTCGAGATATCGATCGTGTTACGGACAGTTAACTCGACAAAACGGCAACGTTGACGTTTTCGTGACGAAACCCCTTCGATGACTATTCGATGATATGAAATATAAAAACGTGAACAGGCGCAACCCTTTTGATACTTCCATGAGAAAAGAACAAAAAAAAAAAAAAAAGAGAGAAATTATAAAAACAGTTGGTAATTATGAAAATTATCGGTTCGTAATGTTTCTGCCTTTACGTGAACTAAATTACAGATTATAATCGATATATACTTTTTCTTCGTGATTATTATGGAGCAGAAAAAAAAAAAGATTACGTGGAGAATCGGTAATCGAATGAAACATTTGGGGACAACGCAAAGGAATATTGAAAGCTCAAAAAGAAAGTCGATATTTCAATGGCTTATAAACGTGTCAAGACTATTATTATGTAATAATTGAGGAAGAGAGAGAGAGAGAGATGGAGAGAAAGATCATCGACGTGCATCAACGATGGCAGATTTCTGTTTTCTATTTGCAAAAGACAAGACACCTTACGAAGGCCAATTAAAGAATCAATACGTCGAGTTGAGACTTACGAGAGAAACGTCGATTAATTACGTGCAGATAGACGTGTGTTAGGATTATCAGTGATACACTTCTACAAATGAGAATAATAATCTTTATCAATATTCATTAGTTGTTTGAAAAAATTCAAAGGATTACACAAAGTTCAAAGGTTTTCTACTGCGTCAATAGTTTCTTCTTTTTTTTTTTTTTCCAAATCAAAATAACCATTCGTTCTAATACTACTTGTTATTATAAACTGTGCATTTGTTAATTATCTTGAAAGTTTTATAGTTTTTCAAATTAAGTAGATCGTTTTAACTGGTCGATTGCAAAAGTGTTATTTTCATTGATGTTAAATTTCGATTAGAAAGAAGTTATGGATAGGTACTTGAAATAATACCATCATCTCGTATGCAATATTACGAAATGATTACGATATTCTCGTAGAAAAGTACGATATTAGAGCTCGTCTTGTAAGAAAAAGAAAAAGAAGAAGAAGAAGAAGAAGACGATACAAGAAGATGAAGAAGAAAAGGTGAACGTAGGTTGGAGATTCCGATACAGTTATACGGTTACGTCAGTTCACGTGCACAGAAATGAAAGGTGGTAAAGCGCGGATGTGGCCCACCGTTCCTGCCGTCGTCGTCGTCGTCGTCGTCGTCGTCGTCGTCGTCGTCGTGGTTGTCGTCGTGGTTGTCGTTGGAAAGACAGAAAACCTGAAGAAAAAAAAAAAAAGAAAGGACAAATTTTTAGGAACTGTAACGATCACTTCTTTTTAATTGGATGAATCCTTCATCGATCTTAATTATACCTGCATTATGTTCATTTAAGGTAGAATATTGTTAATTGGTTTTATTCATGTAACTTTCTTACTTCGAAATAATTTGATAAAAAAAAAAAAAAATTGGTATAACGATAATTACCAATCTCAATACAACACAACACAAATGAATAAATTAAAAAATAATAAAAAAGAGGAAGAAGAAGAAGAAGAAGAAGGTGGACAAGAAGACACGCGTCGGTGTCAAACGAGATTCCAGGAAAGAGAGAAAAGGGAGAGGCGTCGAGAGGAAGAAGAAGTAGAAGTAGAAGTAAAAGATAAAAAAGAAAGGAAGGTGGTGGAAGAGGAGGAGGAGGAGGAGGAGGAGAGGGTACAGAAAGTAAAAGAGAGAAGCTGTGGTGTAGTAAGTTTATCTGCTGTTGGGTCGTGTGTAAGTGTGCGTTGCTCTTCATGATCGAGGGTCACCTCTCCTTATTCCATTACTGCCGTGTGGTGGTTCTATGCTCAACGTTAAAAACGATTCCTCTCTTTCAGTTGTCGCTCGACCAACGAGGCGTTTCGAGGTGCGTCGGTCTCTTTCGTCGGTGTCGGTGGTGTTGTATATGTTGGTTACACACCTTTCGATCATATAACGCGCCGGCGTAAATCGTCGCACGTGCTTCGACACGTTTTTTTTTTTCTCAATCAACTAACCATCTTTTTCTCTTACATTTTCTTTCTTTCTTCCTTTAGACGATTATAAAATTTATCATCATTTTTAATTATTTTTTTTTTCTCTTTTTATTTATTTATCAATTTTTGTTCTTCCTCCGTCGGTAAAGAAGACAAGAGAGAAAGGAGAACTTTCATTGAGAGTGAAAGCTTCGGAGAGATTTTTCGTTTGAATTCGTGGATCTTTCGTTCAAACAGGACCAACGTTATAATTCGTCCACGTTTACTGCTTCCTTTTCTTTTTTTTCCTTTCTCATTCGTCTGGAATTCAAAGGACGACAAAAGGTATATAATAATATTTATTATTTAATTTATATTGGTATCTTATTCTAATGAAATTTGAATAGATCATTAACTATCATATAAATTTATTCGAAATTTAAAATAAAAAAAACTTTATATATGTATGTGTATGGAAATAAGTATCGAATGATCTATTAACACTAGATTTACGGATGTTTTGTTCAATATTTTTTTAATGACTTACAAACATTGAATAGAGGGTAGTAATTAATATTTAAATATATATTTTATTACGTAAGTAAAAAAACAACATATATTTTTAAAAATATAATATTTCAGTTTATATATATTTGTATCAAAAAAAAAAAAAAAATGTGAAATGAGTCAAACTGGCTGAGTTCGTAAATCTAGTGTTAAAATTTGGAGAAAGGAGGAGGAGAGAAAGATTTCGCTTCCGTTGGCGTGTGATGCAAGATGGGTTTCTGTTGTTGAAGTCGAAAACACGCTTTGCATGATAAAACTTGGAAGAAAGCAATCGAAGAGGGAAAGTGAGTGAGCTACGAGGACTGCTGGGCCCTCCGACGATGGAGGGCCCGTTCTGGTAATCATTCTTGTCCACGCCTCATTTTTTTTCTCTCTCTCTCCTTCTCTCTCTTTCTCTTTTTTTTTCCCACATTACAGAGAGTAAACTTACCCAACTTAATAATTAATCTCCCCCTTTTTTTTTTTTTACTTATATGAATGTGTCATAAAGAACAGCACGATTTTCGCACAATTTTCGCATGATTTTCATGATAAAAACGTTGTCCCATCTCTCTCTCTCTCTCTCTTTTGTTCTTTTTTTTCAGTAATATTTCTGACACCTGTCTTTAAAGTAATATCGTAAAAGTAAAGAGAACGTTGTATGTAAAAGACTTATGAACTCTCTTATATCATCAAACACACACACATATATTTGGAGAACGTAAATGAGATCAAAAATTGGTATGATTCACGACTCGACTTAAAAACAATTACTAAATGAATTATTGATGAGTACGTATTAAAGTCAAAACATTTTTAAATTATTATCATTATTAGAAATATTTGTTTATAATAATTTTAAGTATCCTTGTTATATTCGAATGGTAGAGGCGTAAGTAATAGAAAATCATAATGAAGACAAAGTTAGTTCTAAACGCGAACGTTAGTGATTTAACGTTTCGTTTCTAATCGTTTATAGATCTTATCGGTAGATCGTTCATTGTCGGATAAAACGATCATAGACCGCCCACATTGGCTGACCTGTACGGTTCACCTATGATAAATCGTCAATTCAAGAGGCTCTTTTTTTGCAAAACTAATACACTAACAGTTAAACTCGATATATGTATGTATAGGAGTAATAGTATAATAGGTACATAGGTTTTTGTAACGCGTTTACACGTGTGCTTAAATCCTTCGTCGTCGTCGTCATCGTCATCGTCGTCGTTTATTTATTAAATCGTTTCGATCGGTAAGATCGAGTTCGAGAGATACAATGGAATGAAAAAAAGAATTCGTTAGTATTACCACCTTTATAGATATAATAACGAGTGTACTATCTCACTGTCCTTAGTAACAACACTAAACGATATTTTATAATGTCGCTTATATGTACGTACGACAATGAACGCCATTATTTATTAATATTCCTTTCTAAGAAATACGATTCATTACGGCGGGTGCACGCATTCGAATTCTTATCATTATTATTATTATTATTATTATTATTATTATTAGTAATCTATATGATCTATTGCATTCTTTTTTATTTGTAATATTAAACAAAGATGACTGTTCTTAAAATAAAAACTTCTTCTTTAGAATCAGGGTCATTTGAAAATTGTGAAACGGAAGAAACCGTGAAACCATTGAAACAAAAATAATTAATTAATTAATCAAATTCAGTGTCACAATGTGTTCGTCCACTAATAATTCCGAAACTACTCAACTTATTTTAATGAAATTTGCTTTTATTTCACGTGATTTTTTCCAACATAGCACATAGCACAATTTTTAATTACTAATTTAAAGATTTTTATTTAGAGTTATGTTATCTAGGTTCTGTAAGGTTCTTTCAATAGATGACACTGTATTACAATTCAATTATTTTGAAGCTTGCTTTTCTTTGAAGGTTTCACTTCTTCTACCGTGTGTGATCTGCACACATCTGTTCTTTTTTTTTGTATTTTCAACGATGATTTCTTTCGGTAAAAAATAGAAGAGTAAATCATGTACACCTACGCAAATCTTATCCAAAAGAAAGTAGAAAAATGGGAATACCGGTTAAATCTTATTTTGTTCGATAAATATAATTATGCATAGATCGTTTTAACATATGGCACAAATTTTCCCCATAGATAAGAATTTTCCAACAAAACGATTGACGCGTACGAATAAAACAATCGATTTATAAAAATACACACAACAATTATAATACTGGTAGAGTTAGATTTTTTTTTGTTCTACGAACTATTACGTCGATCGATCCTGATTATGACGATGACGTTTTATTCATTCATTAAATTAAACGTTATGACGAATAAAGAAAAAAAACAAAAAAAAAAAAAAAAGAACAATAAAAGAAATATATCCGTTATCGAGTTAAACCGGATGCCGGAAAGGATTATGAATCATGCATTCATTTTTACTGGATCTCTTTTTTCCAAGTTTTCTCGATGAAACGTCATCTTAAGAAAAAAAGAGAAAAGAAAAGAGACAAATGTTTAGATAGATAATTAATCTTCGATCATTCGCGATCGGTCGATGCATCCGCAAATAATTATTCATAGCACTTGGATATAATTGCAGGTTGACGTCTCTATTAAAATTAAACATTAACGAGACTGTATAAACGTTGGGAAGAAGAACAAGAAGAAGGAAAATAAGAAGACAATATAATCAAAGTATAAAGAGAACCGCAATCTCATCGAGGATGTTGCGATGCGGAGATCGAACAAGACAGATTGTTTCCTGATTATTTCAAATCGGTTCAATCGACAATTAACTCATTTCGAGTGTTCGATTTATCGCGTTTTAACAATCATGATTTTTCTTCAGACTATTATAATTACAGATTTAACGTTGAAACTTCAAGATTTGGAACTAACGCGTCTTCGAGTATTCGAAAATATTTGACGATTTTTTTGGGGGAATTTTTATTTCTCGTTTAGGATTTTGCAAAAAAAAAAAAAAATACAAAGAAATGTCTTTGACGAACTTTAGTTTACCTTATCATACGGCTACGCCGTCATCGTTTCTTTACACTGGACACTCGACGATTAATAATCTTCGATTGAATGCCGTACTTCCGCCAGCACCACCTGTTAATTACGATAATCGTGAACCCTTTCGAAATGAACCTTACATACCACCGTCGAGGTATCAACAAGAACGTCAGCAGCAACAACAGCAACAGCAGCAGCAGCAGAGACAACGTCAAACGAACCAACAAAGAAGACCAGAAATTTATGCCGAACAATCTTCCTTTTCATCGACACAGGACACGCGTTATACGAATTATGATCAAGATTTTCGAAGGACTCAACCTAGAATGCAACAACAACAACAACAACAACAACAACAACAGCAACAAATGAGACCACCTCCTCCAGCTCCTTCTACTCAACGTCAACAAGAAAGAATTCGATCAAACGATGAACATGAAAGAGAATCCTTAGAATCCAGCAGGATTTCTGAACAGGAAGGTTATCCTGACAGACCTAACGGGTAAGTCATTTTGTTTGAAATAAATTATTAATTGCATTCTTGATTATCTTTTTTCTTTTTTTTTTTTGTTTGACTGACGAGAAAACAAGGTCGTTTTTTCATAAAAAAAAAAAAAATTCATTTCCGTTTGTGGGTCTGAGCGAAAGCGTATCGTTTTATTTAATCTTAATTGAGCACGAATTTAATATTTACGTAACGTTATCCTCCGAAGCGTTCCTTCGAACGTGCTTCGAATATTTCAACGAATTTCTTTTGGTAATCTTTAAAGTATCGTACTCACATACAATCAACCTGTTCGTTGTTGCAAACACGTAATTATGTCATTGCTTATAATCGTTTTCGAATCGATTCATTATCTTGTTCGTGCATTACGAGATAAATCGATCTTGAAAATACGAAGTAATTAGTTACCAAATGACTTCCAAGGAATCTTCTTTATTTCTCAATCGAAAACAAAATCTTTTCCTTATTTCTGTTCTTGTTCTTTTCTTTTCTTTTTGTTATTTTGTTAAACTAATGTATCGAAATGGACATTAAATTAACCCTTAAAGTGCATATGGGGTGTTTGACATCCTAACAAATTTGTGATCTCTCGAAAACGGTACTGAATTCGAATAAATGGGTTATTTGTCGTCATCTAGTGTTCATTCAGATGGATATAAAACCTATCCTATTTAAAAAAAGATATATCAAACTACTTTTTAGAAAATTGCGAGGTCTAAATATTAAATAGCAGCTTCAGGAAACGCGTTCAAACACGTTGGGGTGTCAAACACCCACAGTACATTTTAACTTTTACCAAGTGTGCACTTTAAGGGTTAATTTGACATTTGTGTGTTTTTTTTTTACGAGAATAAGAAAAAAATGTTACGTAAGACAATTTTGGTCATATAATACTATATATGGAAAGTTTGATTTCGATTGTGATTGTCGTTTTTGTAGATATACGAGAGTAAATGCTGAAGGATTCGGAGGTGGTCCAGGTACAAAAACGTCAGTTCACGCTGTTCTGGATTACGATGACGATTTCGAGGATTATTACGACGACGATGATCAAGGTGTACCAAGGGACGCACACGTAACACCGATTCAAGGACCGATTTTCTTAAAAAATGGTTCGGTTCCTGTCGTACCACTTTATTCTTATCCTCAAATAAACAATGGAACATTTGTACAAATTCCGGTGAGTTGCACATTAGTTGCATTTCTTTCTTATCTTTTTTTTTTATTTGTTTGCATCAAAAACGATTATGAATCATACTTGCTTATACAGGTATCGGTATCCTCGTCATGCCTTTTACATTCTTCTCAACCTTTCTCTTATTTCGCAGTAGAAACAAAAGCCATTCCAAGCACGGCAAACGAGCTTTCATACTTAATCATTATTTTTTTTTCTTTTTTTTTTTTTCTAAACATTTTATTAAATTAGTTGAATAATTCGAATATCACAAATAAATTTTCATTGTTTTATTAGTATTTGTACGTAATAAAGATTTATATCGTTATTGAATAACAATTGAAGGGATTGTTTGATAAAAATTGATATTAAGCCAATAACAATAATTGAAAAATGATTTATCATAAATTGAAGAAAGAACGATTTACGATAAAACATTGAATATATATTTTAATACTGTATATATATATATATATATACAGTTGTAAAATGCCGAACGACGATGCATGCCGTGACTCATAGGTTAGTACACTGAATATATTTCTTGAAGAAAGCACCAATCATGATCTCCCGACCTACAATTTGCTCGGGATTCATCTTTAAATGGTTTACACTTTAAACGTATCATCTGTGACCAATAGATTCTTATCCTCTTTTGTTTTGCATTAAATAATTAATTAWTCAATTCTGATTGCGACCTTTTCTAGACCTTTAATAGAAAGAAAATCAATTGAATAAATTTGACCATAAAGAAAGTACTACTACTAATTTAACAATAATGATAATATGATTAGGATGATAGTAAAAATATCATTTACACGTGTAATTACCATAGAGATATTACAGATAGAGGAAACAAACCATAGACGGCGGTTGTGTAAGTGAAAATGTCTCTGCATGAATATAACAGCAAAAAACGAAAGGTTGATGTTGTCTCTCTCTAACTCATGCGGTACACAAAAGACTCGCAAGTTTGAGAGAGACAACATCAACCTTCTATCTTCTATCACTTTTTATTTTGCCGACATGTTTTATACTGGTTTGTTTGCTCTATGTGTAGTATCTCTATGGTAATTATGTCTTGTTTGACGGTAATTTTTTGTCTGGGTTTGATTAAAAATAAATGACGCGACTTTCGATAGGATCAATCGATCGATCGATCGATCTTTATTTTGTAAAAAAGATGTTGTATTAGTTCGAAAGTTGATCGAACGAGCTCGGATAATACGACTTTATATCTATAAAGAACTGTTCGCAACTCTGACATCTCTACGCGTGACATTTCCTCGCTAGCATATCCATGACCCCAGTCAAAGCAGATTCTATCTTCCTTAGAATTTGCGAGACAACACCTTACTGATTACCACCAGTGAGTGATCTTTAAACAAAAAAAAAGAAGAATAATATAATTATCCTAAAAGAACTAACCACAAATGTTCTACAAAAGAAAAAAAGAGAAATTTGTTCACATTGACGAGAGTCTTTATTATGCATTATTATTATTCCCCATGTACTTGAATAAACGAAAAACCAAGTTAACTTTTATGTAACCGTAACTTGCGTAACCAACTACCATATTACAAAGTCCGATATATTCTTACGTTTGTTTTAATTATAAAATGAATCGCGAGTTGTTTCTTATTTTTGTTGTTGTTGTTGTTATTTGTTGTATCTTCAAACGCGATCGGTGGTCCCCCCATTGGATATTTTTTGTTGTCATCAAAAGAAGACTAATTAATATCCATCAAAGTTGGAGCATTAAATCATCGTAAGATCTCTCATTAAGTATGTCATCGATGACAAGATCGAAAAAGATCGAGATCGCGATAGGGAGAAGAAAAAAAAACAACACGTACAGCTTCTTCTTCTTCTTCTTCTTCTTCTTTCCAGTAGATCACAATCGTTAAATGTTAAGAGAGCAACATGCACCTCATCTTCTTTTGCTCGTCCTCATAATGGCTCCTATAGCACTCCTTTAACCAATGATTACCTCCTCCTCCTCCTCCTTCTTAGACTTCTTCCATAATTGGACACCACCAGTCGTTCTCTGTCTTTTGCAATTACCTTAACACATTGCTTACAACTACTCCTAAAGATTCTATCATTCCAATATAAATTACATTTAGTATCGTACTTTATTTCAAATATTTTTTAATATTAAATTTATTTAAATACATTGTTAAATAATTAATCTGTGCTAAAAAAATATTCTAATAAGATTGATTTAGTCAGAGTTAATTAAAAGTTCAATCAAAGTCATCGAGAGCACACGAATATTGAAAAGAGTTTTGAACCGTTTGGAAAGGTGTAACCATCGTCCTATTTCTCGATGTTTAACAACTTCGTGAGAAAAGAAAGTCGTGACAAAAACGAAAATGAAAACGATCGACCTTACCCTCAATCGTGTTCTAGTAATTTTACGTGTCATCTCTCTATCGATTCTCATTCAATTCATTTTAAAGTAACAATTGTAATCTCCTTTTTCTTATTCGTAATATTTCTTTTGAAGTAAATAAAGATCCATGGAAAAGATAAATTACTTGAACAGAAGAAAAAAGGAGATTAACGAGTGTTGAAGATTGTACAATAAAATTGGTCATAAACGTAGATTGTGCTGTGTTGTTTTTGATCGCAAATAACGAGCACGTACTACATAACATTCAGTAGTATTTCGAAAGATAGACTAAGAAAGGACGATTTGTCTTATGTTAGTAGAAATCGGTTCAATGTCGAGCGTTAGAACGATTCCTCTTCTGGTATCGAGTTAATACCGTTATTGAAAATCCTTTCACTGGTGACCACTGGTCCTCCTCGAACAACGTTCAACACCCAATCACGGACAAACGTTAAGATTCACGGACGACTTGACTTTTTCTTTCAACTATTCATTTGTGTCTCAATCATTATCCACTACTATTCTTATCGTTGTCCTATACTCGAATGTAATAATTTTACCTCTTATATCGCAGATTGTTATCACAAATATATGATACTACTAAACTCGTTCCTTTTTTTATTTTGTTTTTATTTTACTAAGTATATCTCGCTCGGACAATTAATAAATCACCCAATGCTTAACGAGTTGTCTGACATTTTCACTCTGAAATGAAATTGCCAACTGTTACACTGATTATTATTACGTAACGGAGATACTTTCTTTTTTATTTTTGTCAAAAAAATAGTGTCAAATTTATTTAGACTCGTGCATTTTTTTTTTTTTTATTGCCGTGTGTTAACATATTAATTTAACAAATAAATATCGAGCAGAGACAATTATTAAAAATATCAAGGTAAAAAATTAAAAAAATCACACACGGTAGAAGTGAAACCTGCAAAGAAAAGCAAGCTTCAAAATAATTGAATTGTAATACAGCGCCATCTATTGAAAGAACCTTACAGAACCTAGATAACCTAACTCTAAATAAAAATTGTGCTATGTGCTAAGTTGAAAAAAATTACGTGAAATAAAATTAATTTCATTAAGATAAGTTTGAGTAGTTTCGAAATTATTAATGGACAAACATATTGTAACACTGAATTTGATTAATTAAAATAATGATTTTTGTTTCATCGGTTTCACGGTTTCTTCCGTTTGACGATTTTCAAATGATCCTGATTGTAAAGAAATGTTCACTTCAAAAATGATATTGAAAATATTCATTGGATACTTGTTGTTTGTTAATAAAACATCGGACAATTACCTCCTCGTTCAAATTCGATTCACGTAATCGTCGATTGCAATTGACTCGCGTGTACACTCGGCGTGATTCACGTTTCTATCTCTGTAAAGACTTTCGCTAATGTAAGACGTACCACCCTGTGGAGGAAGTTTTACTGAATGACTCGAACCGATATAGACGAGAAGCCGACTTTACTGACGCCTACTGATATGCAAACACGTGGGTTAGCCTAATCGACGTTAACGACGCAACAAGATCTTCCGGTATAGATCAATGATTCTGCAATTACTTGCCTCGATGCTGATCATTTCCTATTCTCATATTACAACTTATCGTTGTGACAATATTAATTGAATTAAACAACAGTCACAAAAGTGTAATTCCCTTTTTTTTTTTTTTTATAATCACCGAACAACTTTTGACTCATCCTGTATATTTAAAAAAAAGAAAAAAATACCCAACATATTTCTTATATTCCCATCTAATCTCATAAATCGTTATTTCGATCGAAAGAAAAAGTGACGTTGATCAATTATGTCAATAACTAAATTGTATACTATTAATAATAATGACGATAATAATCATGATGATGATGACCATGATTGGAGCTTGATAATGTTAAATAACTTTGATCACACACGGATAATGATAGATTTAAAAAAAAAAAAAAGGAAGAATAAGAAGACAAACAAAAAAAGGCATTCAAATATGATTTGCATTAGTTTCTTCGTTAAAAGGTTTTCTTTACCTCGTGAACGTCCGTCCTTGCGGTCGATCGATAAGAAACGTTGGTGTCGTTGGTGTTTCACGTTTCTTATCGCAGTTTTCTCAAATACGTTGTCGTCGTCGTCGTCTTGGTGTTATCGTGCCGAGCCCTAAGATTTGCAGAATAAAGGTATAGGCCTCGAGTTAAATTATTGCTTCTATGTATTCCCGTAGGTGTCTCGAACACTGACTTGGGTCACGCATGTCATCGATAATCCACACGTAAACGTAAACGTACGTGTGTATCGATATCCAACTATACATTGGCTAGGTATTATCTAGCTATATGTAAATTTATGTACGATTATCTATGTGGGTGTGTATGAATCGTCTTGTCAAAGTATTGATGCTATCATGCGTATATATACGTGTACAATATTCCTATAGGTATACCCATGCTTGCTTAAAAAATACATGGAAGAAAAGTCGAATCGATAACCTTGAAATATTTGTCAATTTTACGAGCGAGCACATTTTTTGATAAGGAAAAAGAAAGAAAAAAAAAAAACGTAATGGAAGAATCCATTGAACTTGTAAAATCATGAAATATTCTTCTCGACTTATCGTTCCTCGAAAGAACTTGTGTATACTTTATGCGTTCCTTTTTGCTGTGTGGAGAACCTTGAATTAATATTCATGGGTATATATATATATACCATATGTGTGTACACGTAAATACATGCAAAAGTAAAATCACTGAAAGAAAATATGTTAGAGTCGACTGACTATCATCCTTTTCGTTTCGTATGTCGCACAATAATGGTCAGGATTGTCACGTGGTATACCTTGAATTCTGACAAGGTGTGGTCGTTCGATATCATCTTTATCGTCTTGCTTTGAAATTCTTTTTCGATACTTTTTCAGATTATTCACTGTAACTGTTTCACCGAGTTTTACAACTTTTTTTAACCAAAACTAAATTCAATATTCCTATATATAGCTTATATTTTATAATTATATTTGAAGCACTTTTCAAAATACAATTAACCGAATCGTTTTCAACTTTCAAGGACAATGTAGAGACCCTTAATAAAAAGAGAAAGATAGATCGACCTTTTTAGATTTGTTCTTATCTAACAAGTCGAATCGTTTTTCCTTTCGACTTTATGCTAACCTTTCCAGCACAGATCCTTGACCCTTTTCCTTACAACTTTAAACGCGAGTTCTTTTGCCAATTGTTTTCTTCTTTTTTTTTTTTTTTTAATAAAACGTTCCGTTAGATAAGATACTTATTGATTTGTTTTCTTCATTCTTGTGTAGATCCTTTGGACAGCACTTTCGGTTGCATTAGGAGTTGAATTGAGAGGTGATTTGGTCAGAGGTGCACCTTGCATCAAAAGATATCATCAATTGTTTTGTCCAACTGCCGGTAACACCTACCCCATGTAAATATAATTTTTTCTTATTTTTTTTTTTTTCAATTTGTTTTTTCTCCCTTTTTTTTTTTTTATTCCGAATTTATGAAAAGTTAATTTTGTAGCGAACGGATAGAACGTTTCATAGACGAAAACAAAGCATTGATGAAGAGAATGTACGGTGACTTCGAGATGAGTCCAGGTCATCGAACTCGTACGAGAAGAAAAAAACGGGAATCCTCTTCGAAATCGGCGAAACTAGATTTACCGGATGGTGGGCCGAATCTTCAAGAAAAGGAACACGATTTCGAGCCGGAAATCGAAGCCGATGGGGATTCCTTTTTTGGTACGGAGAATCAAAAAAGAGATCCTAGACAATCTTTTGGGAAAAATCGTAACAACGAAAGTGGAAGGTAGATACTTAAATTGCAGCATTGAAAATATCATAAAGAACATTTGTCATAATTTTAGAGTGGACGCATGCGAATCAAAAGTAGAAATCGTGACACCTTATTGGGCTAGCAATAGTGCAGGAAAGATACGAGCTATCGTAAACACCCAACATTTTGAACAAGCGATTCACCAAGAGGTTTGCTCGTGAGTACATACAAATGTTAATACATAATTTACAAATCAATTGATATTTAACTAAAGTTCAAATGTATTATTACATTACGATCAAATTTAATTGCAAGTGAATTGGCGTGTGTGTGTGAGAGAGAAGAACAACAAAAAATGCAACAAACCAATTTCAGAAAGACGCAAACGAATCGATGCACGGCCGATTGCGGATGCGAACAAAAGTACAAATGGCATAGGTTGCTTGCATACGATCCAGACAACGATTGCAAGGGCATCTTCATGGACTGGTTCCTGTTTCCTTCTTGTTGCGTATGCAGATGCGATCCAACCAAGAACAACAACAAGTTTTCACCATCGAATTCAAGAAATTAATTATTTCAGGCGCACGCACCCAATAGGATTTTATTTGCCTTATTATTATTATTTTACTTTCTTCTATTTCTGAGAACGATTAAATATCTTTTTGTTTTCTTTTTGCTTTCTTCGATGGAATATTTTTTTAAGGAAAAGAACAAAAAGCACACACACACACACACATACACACGAAAAGAGGCTAAAAACTTACGACATCTTTCCTTGCTACATCCTAGGAATTTTTTTGTTCTTGTTATCCTTTATTTCCTAATTATTTTTCATTTTATTTCTGCATTATTACATACTATTATCTATATCGAATCGTTTCGATATTAAAAATATCATTACAGTGACAACGAAGACGACGATGTATAAACACGGTAAATATTTCCTTTCCTTTTTTTTCTTTTTTTTTTATTTCATATGGAGTACAAAAGTAAGGTTTTTTTTTTTGTAATTTTGTTCTATTAATTATTATACTATAATATATTTTCAAATTATGTACAAACGATTATACAATAACTATTCTCGTTACTCGGACACGCCTGATTATTTCCTTCTTCGTGAGAAATTTTAATTTGTAAAAGATAACAGAAAATTTCAAAAGAGAGAGAGAGAGAGAGAGAGAGAGAGAAAGAGAAAGAAAAGAGAAACATAAGAATACGTTTAACCTAATAAATTACAGAGCTAGAAGCCATTCGAAGGGTCTTAACAAGAAGATAACGAAGAGACTAGTTTTAATAAAGATCTCTGATCGTTTCTAAGCACTGGACGGATATCTGATAAGCTACGTTAAGCTTTCTTGTCTTACTCTTGCATTTTCTTTTCWTTTCTTTAGATATTTTTTTTTTCTATTTTTTTCTTAACTTTATTTAATTAAAATTTGAAAGGAGTAAGAGCAAGACAATGACTTAATTTTACAAATAAGAGAACAAAAAAAATATACAAAGCTACTAATTAAAAAAAATAAAAAAAAAAATAAAAAAAACAATTTGCGAGGCTTATGGATTCCTCGACGAACGATATGGAAAGAAAATATATTTTAACACAAGACGTGAAAGATTATAATTCTAAATAATAATAATAATAATAAACGTATGTTCTTTCCAAAAGAATTTGTAGGAAAGAATAAAGTTCAGGTAAGGATTCTAAGTTAGTATAAGTTAACTTAACGCGTTATCCGATCGTATGGTAACGTAATATGTTAATTCATTATGCACTAACGAGCTTCCACTAACTAAGTAAAATTAACGAGCTTACTTTCAAATGACTACGTACGTTCCAAAAATTCTTACGTAATCGACCTAATAATAACATATACATGCTTCTACTATATATAATAACTATCAATGATGTGAAATAATTTGTTTCATAAATCATTACTTTTGAACTCGTTAGTAAAAAAATATTAGCGTAGAAAGTAAATTGAGAGAGAGAGAGAGAGTAAACGATTAGAATGAATAAATCTTAAGTAAGATTCGTAATCAATAATTATTTGTCAATGAGACTTGTATAGATTTTAATTAACTTTTAACGATTAGATTATTTGATTAATTGTATTTTCGATTGGATTAAAAAACGATAACCGATGAAAATAAATCCAACGATGTATAACGACAGCGTCGTTGACAGGCCACTTGCCGAATTGCAGAGATCGGTACTACAGATATGACAAGATTCGGTTATACCTTGATTGTTTTTAGCGAGTGAACCACAAGTACCATCGGTTATATCATTTTCGTCGATATTTGGTATGGCACAGGAACGTATGACGATACGTTCGCCACCATCTGAAACAAAACAGATTATTCATCAAAGTTGAAATAGTTTAAAAAAAAACATGGAAGGATATATATATATAATTTGTAAGATCATCGATAAGTTGACTGATGATTTAACGATGAAGAAGGAGATCGGTGGGAAATGATTCATTTTGTACGTTCGTACGATTAAGACGTCGTAGTAGTAATTGTGTTGTTGCATGGCATGACATGATTCCGTAAGTAAAATGCTGACGGAAGTCTAAAAAGTATGCTGCTAGTTGCGAATAATATCCCTGCGTTTTACTACGTTCCTCTTTCTATTCGCGATAGGATGCAATATACACACGCGATGTTTCAGTCAACAACGTTCCTATCCATTGCGCAATGCGTTCTTCCTATCCAGCTCAATTTCAAATGCAACCGGTGGCACTCCTACTTATAATTTTTTTTCTATTTTTTTTTTTTTTCCTTTAACGATGTGTAAAAATAAGTAGGTATATATATATTTATATAGAAAAACGTAATAAGAGGAAAGTTTTGTACTATAATTCGTATCGATGATAAGATTTGTTTTCCAATCGTAGAAGGAACGATGTGCAAATCGGTAAATGAGTCATTTAGTATCGAGTTAGTAAAAATGTTTTGAGCTGAATTTCGACATATCAGTTAGATCATTGAAGGAAGAGGAAGAAGAAGAAGAGGGACAAGGATCGAGGTCGTTCCAGTATACGGAAAATTTGTTGTTACTTCTACACTACTTCGTGAGACAATAGAAGAGAATACGTAATACACGATTTCCGTTTGATTCATGCCCGGTTGCGCGCTTCGTCAAACAGATTTAATTGCAAACGGAGAACCACACGTAATTCTATTTCGTCGAAATCACACAGTGGTATGTGCGATTCTTCATAATAAAAAAAAATCGATTAACTTTTATTATATCAATCTCGTAGAACGTTGGGTTACAACACGCAATACTTAACCATGTTTGTTTGATTATTTCTTTTGCTAAAATGTCTTGCAAGGAAAAAAATATAATTGAATGATCTTAGCGCATTAGTGCATACCCTAATTAAGTCAATTGTCGTGCTAGAGGCAAGTAGTTGTCGTGAGTCAGAAAAACAAACGTGTCTTATTATAATTCATAGGTACGGCCTTCGTTAAATTCGATAGTGTTTCGTGAAAAGAGTTGAAGTATTTAGACGTAGATAGTTTGTGTTACGTTTGAAATGTGTCATCAAGCTAAGAATAATGCGCACAAAGTTAACTTCTATCATAATAATACGTGTTTTCTTATATACCAAATTTTATTCTTAATAATAAAAACATATAATTGTGTGTGGATATAAGAAAAACCAGAACGTACCTTTTAAAACCGTTTTACGACAAATAGGTCTATTATTGTTGTACATGCCTCTTCCACATTCTTTCACGTGAAACATAACTTGATGATCGGTAGAATTCATTGGATCACCGCACATTGCGCTCGTGTGAGATGAACAATCCCAACACCTTAACGCTGAACCTGTTTACAAATTAAAAATAAATACCAAAACAAAACAAAAACAGACAAATAATATTCCAATTAATTTCTTTCCAAATAAAAACAATCAATTAATGTAAAAATAAATATGACCAAGATGATTCGTTGAAACTTGCTAGACAAATTACGTAAGGTAAATGACAGGTACAAAAATATTACGAAAAGTTAAATGAGAAACTAAAGTAGTTGATAAAATGCGCGCCAAATTTAAATAATGAGACTGCGTATAAAATCATTTTTAGAGTTTGGTCAAATGTAATATTTATAATTCAATAAACACAGAAAATGTATCTACTCACCAGAATTAGCGAAAATAATGAGGAAAATAGCTAGGATCATCCAAGAAGTATTGGAAACCATGTTGATAGTTAATCAAATAGACGTGAAAGAGGGAAAATGTAAATTTGGTTGGAATAAACACGATAAGAAATTATTTGAAACCGGCGTCGCGGAACGTGTCCACTTTGAAACTGAAGAGAGAGTAGACGACACCCTCTTTTGCTGAATGCACACACGAATCTTCTCCTTCCCTTTCTTCCTATATATATATATATATATGTGTGTATCTCTCTCTTTCTCTCTCTCTCTCTCTCTCTCTCTCTCTCTCTTACTGTGACTCTCGTCAAGTTACTATTACGTTTGTCCTCGTCTATATACTTCGTCATAATAATGCGTCGTGCGTGCCCCCGGAGAACTCCCCACCAATTCTAACAGAAGCAGACCTCTCTGCTCTGCCAGGAAGTAGGAGTAAAGAGCAAACAACAGGCAAGAAGACTTTTTAAGAGAGTCGAAATGGGGCCCTCGTTCCACCTCGTTTAGGACAATTAACGATAGAGCTAATCGTTTGGGACCATTTTTCGTCATTTTCTTCTCAAACGTCTGTCTCTTCTCTTTTCTTACTTCACTTTTCGTTTCATTCAAGAAATGGGAATGTATCATACATTCTATTATTATTTTTCTTAAACATTAGTTCACCTTTTTTTTTGTTTCCAATAAATAATATTAATGAATTTTGTAAGAAAATATCTTCCTATCTAATCCATCTATGGTTTGCTGAAGACCCTTAACGTACGAAGCTCCTCGTCTTCCTACTCGATTATCTAATCGTTCTAATCTATAATTATGATTTAATGGAGGAGATTAACTCTAATGCTTATCGATGCGAATAATTCCAATATGAATGTATTCTAGATGTTATTATTATTATTATTATTATGACATCAATATCGTCTAACAGATTCTCTTTTTATCGATGCAAATGTAATATTTAATCAAATTGATTAAATCATTAAATGTTTTTTGCCGAACAAATTGGTTTAATCATGATCGATTCACTCGTAACAAAAAATATTCATTTACATGTGTGATCAAATTTATTATGTAACAGAAAATGAAATAATTGAGATATAATTTGTAAAAAGATACTTGTACGAGAATATATAGCAGTAATTACGTCAATTACTTGCATCGATAAAAAGAAATTGATGCTACTTTATATTTCCAGTTTCGTGTCAATTTAAATTATGCAATTGAGTTTGGTATTGGGATTGAAGTGGAATGATATATCTTTATATATATATATATATTTCATCTGTGCACGTTTTTGTAATTGAACTCCTCCTAAACGGCTGGACTGATGTTAATAAAATTTTGTGTGTGTCTTCAGGTGGATTCGATAATGGTTCAGCGTTACAATTCGGTCAAATTTAAATTGTTTATTTAATTAATTTTTTACTTATAAATTGTTATGCGAAAAGTTTATAGGTTGAAGTTAGTAAATATTCGAGTAATAGAAAATATTCGAGTCGATAATCGAACTTATTCGATTCCAGTTTGTAAATCGTGTGCTAATTAAAATATTACATGAAGATCTAATTAGTGTTTGAAGAAGTTACTCAATTGAGACTGTTGTCAAGATTTAAAAAATCTGTGCTTCGTAATAATCGATGGTATGTATAAATAAAAAAACTAAAATAAAAAGAAATAATAATTTTATTAAACGCGTTCGATGATATTTTCGAAGAAAAGCAGCTAAATGTAACGATGCAAAGTTAGGCTTGCCGACTCGTTAAGAAGAACTTGTCAGGGGTCAGGAGAACATTTAACCTTAGGAAGAATTACCGAATTGACTCGAGCATTTGACCCCTTCCCCTCAACTCCGAAAGACTACGAAGATGGTAGCAGCAAACGTTTAGGTCAGCTTCTTATTCTTATACGACGAAACGTCGTAGAAGGAGTCAGTCAGTCTTCTGGACTATCTACTCTCTGGTTCATTCATAAAACGATTTAATTTCAAGCTCAGAAAGTCAACTGACCTTTCCGGTCTTCAAAGATGTTTCAACCACTTTCGTTCAACGATTCCTGACGATCTTTTCTTCAGTTCATCTCTTATCCTAAGTTTTATACAGATTTATGGTTAAATATCTTTCATGGTTTTATAGAACAAATTTGTTTTTTTTTTTTTTTTTTTTTTCAAAGAACGAAAAATTCAAGATAAGAGAATAAATATATACCTATTGTTATTATACTTATTGTTAACAATTTATTAAGGTCTCAACTTTGCATTATATAATGTAACTCAATACCATTAAAACGATCATTCCTAATGTATAAATACTGTCAGGTTTCATCGATGGATGACCATTACAAGCATAGTTGTTGCAAAAGTAACACTCGTTGATAGAATTTGGAAAATGTTTTTCATGATCGCAATAATGATCTATTTTACGACTTGGTACGCAGGCTCTTATCGTTACTAGAACGTTTTTATCTATAACATATTAAAATGAATTGTTCATTTAACACCATAATATTTATTTGAAAATAATAAATGAATATTTTTCACCTACACAGTACAACAGCTTTGAGACAATGATAAGATTCGTTTCGAGGACAGGCTATCAAATCCATAGAAGGTCCTGGAATGTAAGGATCGTTGCACTCATTTTGTGGACCATTTTTTAAATCGGTATTGCAATCGTAACACCAAAGATTTTGACCACTCGTCAATTCTGTCAAAATAATATTGAATTTTTCAACAAATGACGAAAAAAAAGAACCCTTAAAGTGCACATGGGGTGTTTGACACCCGAACAAATTTGTGATCTCTCGAAAACGGTACTGAATTCGAAAAAATGGGTTATTTGTCTAATGCCATCAACTGTTCATTCAGACGGATAAAAAAACCTATTCTATGTTAAAAAAGATGTATCAAACTCAAACACGTTGGGGTGTCAAACACTCATAGTGCACTTTAACTAACTTTTACCAAGTGTGCACTTTTAAGGTTTAATAAACCGTGTAACGATTATACGTTTTTTTTCCCAAAAAAAAAGCAAGAAATAATAAAGATTAAAGTAGATGTTTATTCAACGAGACGTTTCCTTTTCTTCTGTAACGCGATACGAAAAATAAAATAGGCCGAAATTCTAGTCTTTCGTGAACGCGAATTGAATCACCCAATCGCATTAATTGAAATGAATTTTTGTACAAAAGCACACACACACACACACACCACTTTATTAATATAAGGATAAATAGAAAATGATTGTACGTGTAATTAACTTACTTATTAAATTAAAAATGAAGAAAAATATCATCAGTACGGTTACGTATTCGACCATGTTGAGGATGCTGTTCTTAAAAACGTATCTCTGGAACCTCACATCGTTAAACTAATCGAGATATCTTATCTTTGATAATAAAAGTAACCAGTGAATAACAGAACAGGTGAGAGGAAAGAACACACCTAATATTTCACGCGGTTTTTTTCCTCATCTGTTATCAAATAATATGCCAATTGACAAAATCTAACACTGCGTTGATACTCGTAACATTTTTGTTTATCATTTCAATGATTCTATTATATTAGAAAATATTCTCAAAATATTTTACACACGATATTATATATTCTATTATATATAAAATAGATTATATGTGTGAGACAAAACCAAACAACCGTACCGAATGTCGCGCAAGTCTGACGCTAATAAAACAACGTTGATCGCGCCAGAAATCTCTGGCTCTGCAATGACAATTAATGCAGTAAGATGGAGCTGCATCAAATTCTGCAACAATGTGTAGATTTCCCATGAAATTGAATTTCCGTACATTTTGATATCCTTGCAACAAACCTGTGTTCATCGACAAAACCGCTGGTCACGTGGCACGGTGCATGGGGGAGGATCGAACGGCGCACAAAATATTGGTCGGTATACCAAACCAGAAGGGAAAAGACACCACTAGGTAGACCGAGACGTAGATGGGAGGGTAATATTAGAAGAGACCTGAAAGAAATAGGATACGAAGACCACGAATGGAAGGATCGCGCTCAGGGACGGGAACAATTGCGGAATTTGGTATTTAGGGTAATAAACTTTCGAGTTCCTATAATGCCAGTTAATAATAATAATAATAATAATCTTATAATTAGAGAGGAAAGAATAATTATAATAAGAGGAGCTGTTAGTTAACAAGCTTTTTTATTGCTCGTTATAATAATCGTGCATGGCAAACACTTTTTATTTGACCTCGAAAGCTTTAGCATTAGTTTTCTCGATACCAATATCCAAGCTCGAGAATGCATATCCGGTTGCATACACGTAGAGATACGATTTKTTTATATGTATATATATATATTTGTAATATGTGTATTATTATTTTCATTTTGTTTTTCTTTCTTTTAACAAATAACAGTAGCCAGGGCCCACCGGACCAATTCTTTTCACGAATGCCCGATAAGTTTGGGGATGAAGGCGCTCGTCCCACACATGTAATATCAATGTATATATTCGTATCTCATACGTATATATTATTTATGTGTGTGTATATATACATAATATACAGGGTGGAATAAAAGTCGTTGACCATGTGATAAAACTCTAAACGAATTCTGCATATATTATTCACTTGTATGGTGTTCTATCTATCAACTGATACAAATCTTATGGTTTCTGAGAAGGAAAACGACTTTGATTTTACCCTGTTTTTTTGTATACATATTTGTATTAGCAGTACACACGCGTGAACGCGATTTATTCGATTCAGGGCGATTAACAAGAGAACAAATGATTTTTTTTCTTCGGATTATCGATGAATTATCTTCACGATTAGGATAAACGCCTGATTCGATATTAGTTTTTCCTTGTAATCGATATTTCTGAATTTCGAACACGACTTTATCCTAAGAAATTAGAAAACATCGATGTTTTTTCGATGCTTGCAAAAGAGAGAGAGGAGGAGAAGGAGGAGGAGAAGGAGGAGGAAGAGGAGGAGGACTTTTTCCATGGTAAAAAGAGGCAAATGCAACGACGATAACTCGATTCGACGGTGGACATGAATTTACGGAATTAATTGGAAAAATGGTGGAGTGATCGTGAACGGTGTACGTTATGCATCTCTGTAAAGGATTAGAGCGATAACGAATGATCCAAGGACGATGAAAATAATGTGGTTTATTCTTGGAGAGATGGTCATCGAACCATTGCAACCATTTTCTTCGCACAATCCGCAAAATTCCATACCACCTTGAAGTTTTCCTTCGATCGACGTGCAAGGATCGACATTTTCCGCTTGAGCCGTTTGACAACTTCTTATCGTTACTAATTTGTCATAGTCTTTAACTGTTGAATGACAATCGATAATTAATACAAAATGTAAAAATTAAAAGACAAAATATTAGTTGTCTACTCACTTTTAACATCGACTTTGGCACACGCCATGTTCTTTAACATACTCTGATCATGTTGCGGATCATCCACGGCAAAAATACTGAAAATTGGAGTAAGAATTTTGTTCTGTTGAATACTCCTCTGCCATTTGGTCATTTTTTCCATCGTACATTCCATTGGTTCGATTGCTTTTGATTTGGTTATTTCATTGCCACAATCCTTGTCAGTAACCGAGGTACACATGTAACATTTTAATGCGTCATCTGCAAAATTTTATTATAAATAATGAAATTTATGAACAGTTACATCAAAAATTGAATGACGAGAACGATGTAAGATGCTAATTTTCGCGCCTTCGTTATGAACGTGCGAACAATTATCGAGTATCGAGTATAACAGAGAACGTCTTTGTTCGATGACATTTTTTTTTTTATTAACAAAATCTTACTTTGAAGTTGCTCTGGAAAAGTTTTCTTTAATTTAAAATAAAAGGAATTATTCATTTCGTACGAATATATTTCGTTAATAAAAAGAAAAAGTAGCTCATTGGTGTTCCTATTAAAAGTTATTACCCTGTAGTAACTTCGTATAAAAAAAAGAAAAATGTTAAACGAGATGCAAGTAGAAATGAATTCAATGAAAATCGATTGAATAGTAGTAAAAATGTTCAAGAAAAATGATACGGGGTGTCTTCAGTATTTTATTTCCAATGGGGTTGGTTTCTGACGTATCGTAAAAATATTTATGATTGAGAAAGAGAAAGAAAAGAAGGGGGGAACGGTGGTGCATGGAAAGTGTGGGGGTGTAGAAAAGAGAACGCGCGTGTTCCCATTATTTGGGTCGCGGCGATGTGGCGCCAAAATCCCCACCCACATATTTTCTTTATATTATTTTTCTTTTCTTTAACATTTTTCTATCTCCATGCTTTCTTATCGATTACTTCAACAAAACTTCATTCGTCACTCACTAAGATTTAACGAGAAATTGTATTTCTAATTCAAATAAATTAGAAATAATAATGAAGAAAAAGTTTAAAAGTTGTTTGAACATGAATTTACCATCCCCCCTACTGTTACAAGTAATAAAAGCTCTGATAAATCGGACCACGTAGAAAATGGAACTTTGCATATTGGGTCGACGATCTTGGAATAAAAAAAAAACACACACACACACATTCGACAAGTTTTACAAATATCAAAAATTTTGTTATTTTCTTTTTTTAAAAATTGTCAATGCAACAATTTGTCCTCGGACATTGAATATCACGTTTTGTATTTAAATACAAAAAAAAACAAACAATCGTAAAATAAAATAAAATAAAACTAATTTAAGATTAAATTAAAAACCAAAAAAAAAAAAAAAATGTTTGAAACAAAAATAATAATTCCCACCTGATCGAACCGCCAAAACGAGAGAAACAAGAAGGATGAAAAATATAGCAACGTTTCGATGCATGTCTCCTTGTCTCGATCACAGTTTTCGAGTTATCTTCTATCTCTCTCTCTCTCTCTCTCTCTATCTCTCTCTCTCTCTCTTTACCTCCTTCTAGGAATCACTAAAAATGAAAACTAGAAAAACACTAGGTCGAACAATACGATAAGAGGAAGCTTAGAAAAGGAAGGGTTGTTGTCGTGTCGACAGCCTGATCGCGAATATGAGATTGCTGGCAGTGCTTCAGCACTTTGCACACATCCACTCACTCGCTTGCTTCTCTCTCCCCATTCCTTTGCTTTTCTCCCCCAATCCTCCTCTCTCTCTCTCTCTCTCTCTCTCTCTCTCTCTCTCTCACG